GATGTTACATTGACAGTAACTTGGTAGGATGGAATGAGATGTGGTCTGCCTCCTCAAAACCCATAAGCCCAGTCTAATAATGAGATAAACATCATCCAGTAGTGAAGCAGCCTACAAAATACATGGTCAGTATTCACAATCACGATCACTAAAAACCAGCAAAGTCTAAAATACTGTCAAATCCAAAAAAGGCCTAATGGTACCTGGCAGCTCAAAGTAATGACATTCAATAGAATGTCATGGATAAAATCCTCGAACAGAGAAAGGACATTAGAGAAAAACTAAGGAAAGCTAAACAAACTAAGATAATTTTTATATAAATGTATTAGTATATGGGAACTCTATATAATATTGTCTGACTTTTTCTATACATCTAAAACAAATAAAACACAAAAGACCAGTAAGCTTATTGACTAATATTAAAGGAACAAATTTACAATTTAGCTGTCTAAAGTGGAAAGCCCTAGAATAATTTTTTTTAGAATTTTAACGTGGTTTTGATGTGTGACCAGATTCTAGGCCTTCATTTCCACTTTTGAAGGCTTGATTTCTGAATTTTTAAAAATCATGAACAGAAAATACCTGTATATTCAGTTCATCAGCAGATTGTTTCTGTTAATTTTGTATAGTTGTTTAGACCTTTTAAAACTGTGTGCTCATGGTTTATTTCCTGTTTCTCTTTAGATGTTTATCTTTAATATATTCATGTCTCTAGACTACAGTTTTTAAAGTTTGGCCAAAGTGGTTCCTGAAGTTTAATAACAGCATTTAATCTTTCCTTTTTTCACTTCATGTTTTCTGTTACCTCAGTTAGTTTTGACTTTTGCTTTCATATAATTCCTAAATATATTAACAAATACATTTACAAATTATTATAATGCCTGGCAGGGTTTTTCATAAGCTACTCATTACACTTTTTCCTTTAGTCAGTCACTCAGTAGTCGTCCAGATACAGAGGTGACTATATTGTGGAAACATTTGCTCTTGCAGAAAGTAACCTTATTCTTTGTCATCACCAATATCTTCCAGCCTCTTGACATACAAATATTTATTTTAAATATTTTTAATAATCCCTGAATTCTTTGTTTTACCTGCACTTGGGTGTTTATTTTTATTTATGCAGTGCTGGGATTTGATACTGGTTATCGCACATGCTAGACAAGCACTGCACCACTGAGCATACCCCAGCCCCAGTTTTATGTTACTATTATTCATTAGATCATTAGTCTGTTAATAACATCATTTTATATTTATTTTTTCCCAAAACAAAAGTTTACTTGAATGTTGTTTTCCTTCTTTGATTTGTGTCTTTGTGATTTAATTCTTCAGTTACTGCCAGTAGAGACTTCTGCTTTGATCATGTCAGGGTTAGTGATCCATATGATTTACCAAAGATAGTTTCTGGAGAGATATGTTGCCTCTAACCATTTCTTACTTTAATTCAGACCCTGATAATTCTTTCCTGACCATCAGCTTTAGTCTTTCTTTTTTGCTCATGTCTGTCCCTGTTTCTGTTCCTCCCACTTAGTCTTATCAGCATTATCTTTTTCTTAATTTTTAAATTATTATTACTTTAATATGTATGAGTGTTTTGCCTGCATGTATGTAAGTGTACTATGTGCATGTAATGCCTGAAGAGACCAGAAGAGGGTGTTGTATCCCCTGGAACTGGATTAAAGGATGGTTGTTAGCCACCATGTGGGTGCTAGGAATCAAACCCGGGTCCTCTGGAAGAATGGCAAGTGTTCTTAACCGCTGAGTCATCTCTCCAGCCCTGTATTTATTTATATTTTGTTTATGATTGTTTTGCCTGCATGTATGTAAGTACACCAGTGCATGCAATACCTACAGAGGCCAGAAGGGGATGTTGGATCTTCTGAAACTAAGAGTTTGGGTCAGTTGTTAGCTGCCATGTCGGTGCTGGGAACTGAATCTGCGTCCTCTACAAAAGCAGCCAGTGCTCTTAACCACTGAGTCATCTCTCCAGCCCCAACATTATCTTTTTTAAACGACTGATTTGATTATGTTACTCCATGCTTCTGGGGTCCTTGTCTCTTCCTTCTTGAATGTAAAATAGTATTTTGAACCACTAACATTTATTAACCACAGTGCTGAGAATTATATATAGCAATCAAGAAATTTAATTTTGACAAAATCTATATAAAGCTAGTAGTTCTGATATCTCTGTTTTATAATTAAGAAACTGATAAAGAGAAGTTACTCAACTTATCCAAAGTGCTGTACACTGTGTTGATTCCGAGTTTGCTAGTATGGCCTCATTCAGGCCCATGTACATTTTTGCCCTCTTTTTAAAAAAAATTTTTATTTAATATTTTTATTTTATGTGTATGTATATATTGCCTGCGTGTAGGTAAGTGCACCCATGTCATACAATGCCTGTGGAGGTCAGAAGAGGCTGTTGAATCCCCTGGGGCTGGAGTTATGGACAGTTGTTAGCTGCCATGTCAGTGCCGGGATTCAAACCCAGGTCTTCTGCAAGAACAACCAGTGGTCTTAACCACTGAGCCATCTCTCCAGCCCCTGTTTTTGCCCTCTTTTTATCCAGTTCTTTCCTACCTCATTTCTATTTGTTGTGTTTTCTTAATGATAACACATGTTCGCTTTCTGCCTATAGAAACCCTGCTCCCCTCCTCTCTGCTACACAGTTCTCAAACACATAGATCCCTTTCCCAGTTACAGCGCTTTCCCAGTTATTTATTTGCCTTTATTGTAGTTTTTGTTTATATTTCATTTGTCACTTGCCTTATCATGTGGTTTAATGTATGTGCTTGTTTCCATTTTTCCTACTATATTTCAAGCTTTTGGAAGATAAAGATTGTTTTCTCTTTACAACTTGGGTCAAAGCTTTGTATTTAGCAGATACACCAGAAATACTACCTTTAAAAATCAGTTTTATTCACATAGATATTTGTTAGAAATTTTATTTTTTATGAGGATGAAATAGGGAATTCATTTTTTATTAACTCTGAGGAATTATTACAACTAAGTTCTAAAGTTCTTTCAGTCTCCAATTAATAATTCAAGTTTAGTAAAATTTTAATTTCAAATTTTAAGTAAAAATTTAATAATTCTTTCATTTCTGTTTTTACTCATCAATTATTGAGAATTCATACACTATTAGATATACATTAAAGCATACTTTTTAAACTCTCATACTATTGATTATGCAAATAATTGAACTATTATAAAAATTCTAGATATTTCTGTATTTTGCCATTTATCAGATTTTGAAAAAAATAAAGTCTTTATAAATAAGTCATTGTTTTCAACATTAAAAACTTTTAACTTTGGGGAAAGATTTAAGAACTCTAGAGAGATTTGTAAGGCTTTCTGGTGAGAAAATCAAAGTCATAAGAAGAAGCCATGTTGGTAACAGTATCTAAAATATCTGCCATAAGATCTTAGACTGCTGAAAGTAGGCTATGAATTTAACCATGTTTTTCTTTCAGTGAGCACAGTAAATAAGAAAGCATGATTGATTTCATGATCAAGTTGTTCATGTTATGAAGCCAATCAGAGAAATTTCCTTCATGATTCCTCACTAAGTAAGGCTACCAGGTGAAATAGGCAAGCCATACTGTCTACAATGTACAATAAGCTCATTTATAGTTTAGCGTGACTGATTCATATCAGACTATTCAACACAAGCCTGTGATATACTAGTTTATTAAAGGATATCTATAGTGTTTGTACTCAGAAAACCAAAGAATTGTCTAGAACAGCATATCCCAAAGGCACTAGCAAATTAAATGATGTTTTCATTTTTTAAATTGATTTGAAAACAGGATTATTTTGTAAGGCAAGTACTAAAAATTCTTAACTTTAAGCTACTAACTTTAAAAAATGTAACATGCATCTTCATATTTCAGTCCACATCCAAATGCCCTAAGTATCACAAAATGTAGACTCCTTAGAAAATACAATTAGGGCATATGTGAACAAATTCACAAGTCTCTTGCTCTGGTCAAAGATTTTTTTTTAAAGGAATATATTGTTATAAATCATGTATTTGTAATTACAATGAGTAGACTTAAAATAATACATGCTAGAGGTTTGGGTATATCTTAGCAAAAAGTATTGAAGTTAGTACTTTAATAACTAATTGAAGTTAGTATTTTTTTGTTTGAGAAATACTTGATTTTCAGCTCACACTGAAATGATGGAAGTCTTCTATTTTGGTGTTCATTATGGTAGCTGTAGTTAAGGTGAAAGTCAAGTGTTTCTAATGTGGCTAGATTGAGAAAATAAACTTTTGATTTTATTTAATTTTAATTGTTTCAGATTTAAATAACTATGTGGTTAGTAGCTATGCTATGGCAAATATTTGAGATAATCAACTTAGAAAAAAAGATGATTTTGGCTCAGTTTTAGAGGTTCCAATTCATCTACTGACTCCATTGCTTGGGAAAGGCAGCATATTGTAGTGGGATTTGTAATGGAATATCTTTTGTGGCACATCCACATTGCCTTTCATTTCTTTTCCCCAACACACACACACACACACACACACACACACACACACACACACACACACACAGCTCCAGGACTATTCAATAAGAGTGCATCATGGGGAACAAGTCCTTGACATATGAACATTTGGGGGACATTTAACATCCAATGAGTAACAGTAACTAATCATATTGGACAGTGCAATTTTAAAGAATGGGAGAGACTTGTTGCCTGTCAGGCTCAGAATGGAGTGAACACAGATTATGTTTGGTTTCAGCAATTTAGAAATCCAAAATTTCTAGGAGATATGTGTTTTAAGATAATGATTATTTATTTGTAAATTTACTTTTCTGGTTTTGAGCTTTAAAATTAACCAAGATGTTTGAGTACAAGGTTCACCTTTTAGATATTAAAAGAGTTGTTAGTAACCAGTGTTAGGCTAAAACACTTTAAGATTCTTTTATAGCATTAAGACATTTACTTATAAAAATAGAAAGCTATGAGTATATTGATATAGACTATTTTCTTAGTTTCCAGAATGTGGATTCTTTGGCATGTATGATAAGATTCTTCTCTTTCGCCACAACATGAACTCAGAAAATATTTTGCAGCTGATTACTTCAGCAGATGAAATACATGAAGGCGATCTTGTAGAAGTTGTTCTTTCAGGTGAGCACGTAGCTCTTTTTATTTTATTCCATTTTAGCCCCCCCCCCCAAAGATTATTTTCTGCACTGAATGCTGGGTTGAGTTGCACTTGATTTTGGTATTGTGTAGTTGCTTGCTTCTTTCATCTGTAGTAATGGTTACTGTCATTACTGTCATTTCATTACCAGGAAGGTTATGTCACAGATAAGAAAGTAGGAAAATGAACTGTGAACTGCTTAACTCTTATGAAGCTAAGGGAATTATAAGTTGAACTGAAAAAAGAAATATCTTTTTCTGTGAATCAAAAAAATAAAACAGTATTAAAGTTCTGTTTCAAGGCCCTTTCCACCAAGCCTAACAACCTGAGTTCATTCCCCAGGACACATTATGGAAGGAGACAGCCAGTTCCTGCATGTTGTCCTCAGACCTCCACATGCATGCCATAACACATGCCCTTCCCCCGTGAACACACACACATAAACACATACAATAAATAAATGTAATTATTTCTTTCAATCAAAGTATTAAATGCTGAAAATAATTTATTTTAGGGTTAGATGAAGCTTTCAGAGAAAAGTTTTGTGTTTTGATATAGATAAATATGAGGTGTGTTCCTAATCTCTTTGCAATTATAAACATTTTAATACTGTTCTTTTCTAAAAGCTTTAGCCACAGTAGAAGACTTCCAGATTCGCCCTCATACTCTCTATGTACATTCTTATAAAGCCCCTACCTTTTGTGATTATTGTGGTGAAATGCTCTGGGGATTGGTACGTCAAGGATTAAAATGTGAAGGTATGTATTTTTTAATGCTTGTAGTAATTTGAAAGAAGATTTCACATTTTGCATTCAAATTATCAGTGGAAAAATAAAATCATAGTTGGTGTCTAGTTAGTATGGCAGGTTTAGAATTCAGAGATGAGGATCGGGAGCTTCCTCTACCACCACCTACTGCTTCCGTTGCATCGATAACCTACTAGACCTCTGAGAAGTGATTTTCCCCAGTAAAGTGCATTCTATCCCATTGGTTTTTTATTAAATAAGGTAATGTGGATAATATATTTGAAACAAAGAGGCTCAAAATTTTTAGTTTTTTCTGTACAATGATAAAATTGTCAGATTGTTCCGAGAATTGCTAACGGCAGGCTGCATATGCACAGTTCTGATCAAAAAGCAGTACTGTACTATGGAGGATCTGTTAACTTTCTTTGTAAAGTGCCAGCAGGCAAACATTTTAGGCTTTGCAGGTCATGGAGTCTCTGTTGTGACTTACCTCTGCTGTTGTAATATAAAACTAACATAGACACTGTTAACAACATCAGGCTGTGTTTCAATAAAACTTATTTTTATGGGGTGGGGACATGTCTTCATTTGCAAAGTCCTTGCCACATAAGCATGAGGACCTGAGTTCAATCCCCAGGATCCATGTAAAAAGCTCTGTGTCATGACATGTATTTGTAAACCCATCACTGGACAGATGGAGACAAGGGCAACCCTGGTTTTTGCTGAGAGCCAAATTTGAGAGCCCTAATAAGAAACCTTGTCCCCCAAACACAATAAAACTTGAATTCATGAACACTGAGGTTTGAGTTCCATATAATTTTCTCATAGAAGGTTTGTTACACACAGGCCACCGTCAGCTACTGACTAGTTCTTTAAGCCAGCGTTTCTTTACCAGGCATCATAAACCATGTTTTACAGGGCTCCACCCCCAGAGTTTCTAATCTTGTAGATTTGGGGTAGTACCTTACATTTCAAATTCTGAGGTGGTTATCTTAGGGACTATAAATCAAAATCCACTACTGTGGTTAATTTAGCCCTTTAAAATATACCTTCCTACACATTTCCTATTCTTAAATTTGTTACCTTCCACTTAGTCTAGCATGATATGGGTTCTTAATTAAGGTAGGTATTGTTGCTGGAGATAATTAATTTAAAAGGTACTGATTTTTTTATGTACCATACTTCCAACAGTGAAGTTTTAAAATTTTATATTTTACTCTTAATATATATTTAGGCTGTGGATTAAATTATCATAAACGATGTGCCTTCAAGATTCCAAATAACTGTAGTGGAGTAAGAAAGAGACGTCTGTCAAATGTATCTCTACCAGGACCTGGCCTCTCAGTTCCAAGACCCCTGCAGCCTGAATGTGTGCCCCTTCTCAGTGAAGAGGTATGTATTCTCCAGTCTTAGAAGGACTAGTTATTCCTAGTGATTTTACGAGGCGTATGACATCCTAGAACATAGGTTATGCCAAAATGTAGTAGTGTTCCTACACTTAAGATATTTGAAATGTAACAATGATAGCAAGGCTTACCAATACTTGTAGGTTGTGTTTTGTGCACCTTAGGGTTGCATTATTATCATTTGGACCACTGTGTGCACCTCCTTTCCAGTATCCTGGATTTCACTTCATCTTACATTCAAAAGTCAGATCAAGTTTCCTAATGTACAACTCTGATTATATTGCCCCCCACTAGGAAACTGTATTAGGGATTTCTAGAGGAACAAAACCAATAGAATATTATATATATTATATATTACAAGATTTATTACATTGGCTTACATGATCTAGTAAGTACATAGTCTAGCTCCCACAAAGGCTGTAGAGCAGGTGAAACTAAGAGCTACTTAGTCCAAGAAATTAGAAGCATCAGAATAAGGATATTACCCCATCTAAAGTTTGAGGCTTAGCAGCCTCCTGGAAAGTTGCTGATACAAATCTACCTTCAAAGACGGATGAATCTAGAGTCTTACATACATGGTGGTGGCCGCAGGAAACAAACAAAAAAACCCTCTCCTACTGAAGTCAAGCATAGTATGTGAATATGTGCACTACTTCTGCTTTTTGTGGCATCTGGACCCCCAGCTTGTTCCATGATACCACCTGCATTCACAATGGGTCTTTCCCACTCAGTTTGCTGATCCACATGGCAGTAAGGTATGTTCAGAAAGGCACTGTACTGATTTTCTAGTCATCTCTCATTCCAGTTGACAAAATTAATGTATAGAAAGCTTTATATAGCCTATGTTCCTGGCATCCTGTGCAAACATTTCCTAAGCATAGCCTAGTTCCCCAACTTGGTTCTCATTGTCGTCCATCTTACCTGGTTTTTCCAGACCCAGCTCAAACCAGCTTCCTGGTTTTCCCCTTACCTAAAACTTACCTTATTTATTGAATGTCATCACACTTTTGAAACTTTTGTGATTGTGTGACTAACATTCTCCCTAGTATTTGTGTACCAGATTACCCCATGAGTTTATGAGCACTTTAGAGAAGACTGTTTGTGTCTTTGTGTGCCCCATTGTCCTTAGCACAATACTTGGTGTTTAGTAGCTACAAATGAATTCCTACCTATACCAGTTTTCAAAATATGAGGTCTGTCACTAGATCTGTATACATGACTCCGTGGAGACACAGAATAGTTAGGTGACTTTTCCAAAGTCACAAGAAAAATTAGTAAGAAATACTAGAATTAAGTCCCAATTTCATTATTTTTAAATCAGTTATTTTCTTTTTCCTAGTGTATCTCTCAAGGATAAAGCTATTAGGTTAATGATGGAAGAAATACCTCCCTTATGCACTTAGTGGGAATCCGATGCTCTCTTCTGACCTCCACAGGCATTGCATGACACAGGTGCCACTTACATGCAGGCAATATACTCATATAAAAAAATAATAATAAATAAACCAAAAAAAGGGAGGTATAAAAACAGTGCTGCCAGGCATGGCACACACTTTAGTCTCCGTACTCGGGAGGCAGAGGGAGGCAGATCTCTGTGAGTTCAAGGCCAGCCTGGTCTACCTAGCGAGTTCCAGGCCAGCCAAGATTACTCAGTGGTTAAGAGCAGTGGCTGCTCTTACAGAGGGCCTGGGTTCAGTTCCCAGCATCTGCATGGCAGCTCTCAGCTGTCCTTAACTCCAGTTCCAGAGGATCTGGCACCCTCTTCTGCCCTCCACAAACATTACATGCACTGGTGCACTTACATACATTCAGGCAAAACACACATACACATGAAAATAAATTAGACTGGAGCGATAGCTCAGCAGATAAGAACACTGGCTGTTCTTGCAGAAGACCCAGGTTTGGTTCCCAGCACATGGTGGCTAACAGCCATTTGTAACTCCTGTTCCAAGGGATCTAGTGTCCTCCTCTGGTCTCCATGAGCATTGAATATATGTGGTGCATTTACATACATGCAGACAAAACACTCATGCACATGAAATTAAAAAATTAATAACGGCCACAACTGGGTCAATAAATTTTTTTTTAATGTTAAGAAAAAAATAAATTTAAAAATAATGAATCAAACATTTTAATCCTTAAAAACAATGTTGTGGCATAGAGACTGAGAACGGGGGGGGGGGCTATATATCAACATATGGGAGAGTTTCAGTTCCAGGCATAGTGGCACATGCCTTTAATCCCAGCACCTGAGAGGCAGAGGCACACAGATCTCTGAGAAGTCAAGGCCAGCCTGGTCTACAAACAAGTTCCAGACCATCATGGCTATATAGTGAGACTTTGTCTCAAACTTTTTAAAAAAGAGTTTGGGGAAAGATTGATAGTAGAAAAGTTAGTACATCTTACACAATGAACCATACCGGGAACTTATTTGGGAATGAAAACTGGAACACAGAAGTGTATTGCTTTAAGAGTCCCATAGATGATACTATAATGCCAACTACCCACAATTGAGCATTTATGACCTATCGAATGACAAAAAGGTAGAGGAAAGGAAAGTACAGTCATTCTTTGGTGTCTACAAAGGATTTCATCTCTAGCAGATAATGAAATCCATTGATGTTCAAGTCCTTTATAGAAACTGGCATAATACTCGCATGTAACTTACACACATTCTCTTATATATTTAAATCATCTAGATTACTTACTACATCCTTTATGCTGAAAACGCAATGAAGAGGTGTTCTGGGTATGAGTGATGTGGCTACAATGTCTGTCACCCCTTTGCTTAGCTGATCTGCCTGGTGAGGCAGGCATCTCCTTCCTTCACCACTGAAACTGCACAGTCCAAGAGAAGGACCTTCCCAGTAGAGGAACACCAACCTTCAGTCTAAGGCATATGAGTATCTATGCTCCCTTTTCCAACCCCCAAACAAAGTGCTTTTCTTGTTTATGGGATAAAAACAGTAAGAAGAAACAATTCTGTACCTGTGTAATACAAATTCATCCATTGCAACCCTGGTTACATTTCCAGCTTGGTGTTGGTTGAATCCATGGGTTCCAAATCTGAGGCTACAAAGGGCTGACTGATTACATTTAAATTGATTAGTTTGCACTGTACTATAAAGATGAAAGTTTCTAGGGAATATAAGAAGCAGAGAGACATGTGTGGATTGGTTTAATTATTGCTCAGGGTGTTTTAGAACACGTAGAACTTGGAAAGTGCAAAGTCTCTCAAGAAGGTTTACTTCTGTCAGTCCAAGTATACAGTCTCAAGGCAGAGGTACAGAATAAAGAAAGAGCTCATGGAAGCAAATCAGAAAGAAGGAAGAGTGGGAAGAAAAGACACTCTACAGGAAAGGAGGAGAGAGCAGTTGGGAAATAAGAGCAACCTTGCAGCTGAGCCAAGGATAGCGTAGAATCAACTGGTGGTAGTTAAGAGCCACCTTAGTTCCTAGGTGCCAGCCTTTCTGCTCCGAGCTTTACCTTTCCATGAGGAAAGGACTGCATAAGCAGTCCTCACCACAGTCCTGAGAGGCATGTTATCATTCCTGATTTATTAGGTAGGGAAAATGAGGAATAAAAGTTCCTAAGAAGTCAAGCTTTACTGAATATGGAAATAAAGCAGGCATGTTGGGAGCAGAACCATTACATAACTCTCCACATGTACAAAGACAGCAGTCCTCACCACAGTCCTGAGAGGCATGTTATCATTCCTGATTTATTAGGTAGGGAAAATGAGGAATAAAAGTTCCTAAGAAGTCAAGCTTTACTGAATATGGAAATAAAGCAGGCATGTTGGGAGCAGAACCATTACATAACTCTCCACATGTACAAAGACAGTTTCTGTCAGAATATCAGAAGACAGTGTAAAGAGATGAAAGAACAGAAGCTATTCATTACGTTTGGCTAGAGTGAGAGCAATAAGGTTTAAGAGTCCACAACTTGGTACTGACTGAGGATGAGACAGTAAGTATTCCTCAGTGTATGTTTGAGGGATCAGAATCAGACTACAAAGAAAACGCCAGGTCTGTGCATGTGCATAAAGTGGAGATAGTTCTCTGACTGAATAATAATACTCCAGTGTTGATTAAATATTCATAATTGAGGGAGTTATTTTTTTAAATGCTTTTATTTCCTTTAATGTACGTGTGCTACCTAGCAATGCTGTTAAAGTTTTTCTGAGTAAGTAACTTCAGCAAATGTTAGCTTACAGCCTAAGCTGTGAAAATAGCTGTTTGTTTGTTTGTTTGTTTGTCTGTCTGTTTTTTTTTTAAGACAGAGTCTCTCTGTAGACCCAGCAGGCCTACAGTTTGCTATGTAGACCAGGCTAGCCATGATCTCACAGAGATTCACCTGACTCTGCCTCCTGAGTACTGGGATTAAAGGCATGCACCATAACATCCAGCCAGAAATAAATAACTTTTAGAAAATCTCTGGCTACACATTAATAGGGAAGAAACAATAGTTAAGCTAAGTGCTAATTTGCAAATAGAAGACAGTAAAATAAGGCCAGAGCTTCCACTCATTTCTCACAGTGCTGGTCTCAGTGGTCCCGTTTAACCAGGCTCTCTTGCTAAATTTACTGACACCCTCCTCCTTTCAGTTTCTCATGAAATCTGCCATACCTTTCCTGCCTTCCTCACCCAATAGAGGCAGTCACTGTGATTGACACATTTGTATTGCAAGTACAAGCATATTGAGGTAGTAAAAAAGAATGCTCCAAATCTCTGGAGTACAGTGTAGAAGACCTAACGATTGATATTAATCTCTTTTAGCCTATTTTCATATTTAAATGAAGATAAAGCAAATATCCATATACAGGTGACAGTTGGCTGCTATATCCACAGCCCCCTGGGTTGTGCCTGGCACATATGCTCTGCACTATGTCCTTAATGCCCTATACCAGCAGGACCTGAGCAAAAGGCATTAAGTCACCATTGACATATGAAAAGATCTGTTAGGAACTCTGTCCTTTACAGGAGTACCCTGTACATTTGCTGACTACTGGATAAATCAATCAATCTGCTTTGTGTGTTTTGAACTCGAGATAAACCTAAAGTAATAGACACTGGAGCAAGAGATGGAGAGTCTTGAACTACTACTGGAATAGGGAGTAGGGATGTACAATGTTCTAAAACATCTGTTTTCAGTTCCCCTTTGGCTGCCTCAACTTTGTAGACTCCCCATGGTATTCTTCGGCTGAAGGTGACTCATAAATGGTATTAGGAAGTAGGACACCTTGCATGTGAAGCTTGTAAATGTGGTTTGGGTTCTCACATTCTTTTTGTTCTTTTCCTGAATTAAATTGCTTCATAATTCCTTTTAGAAATTTCTAGCTGCACATTAGGAGAAACTACCTGTCTGAAGCTATATTAGTTCCCTTGAGGGTGCTCTCCTCCATTCATTTCTTTTGTTATGCCCTTTCTTTCTAGGTTTTGTTTGTTTTAGTTTTCGTCCTTTTACTTCCCCTTACATTTCTCTCTCTCGGTTTCTTCTGATTCTTTTTTAACTTCCCTTGGTTGAACATATCATTGTAGATTGACTCAACTCTTCCGAGTTATGACTCTCAGTGAAGATATGAGGAGTTACAATAGAACCTTTTTATGTCATTTAGGTAGTAGATATTCAGCTTTTGTGCTGAAGAACATGATTATGTTTTAATAATTTTTGTGTTTCATATATAACATGGGACCTAGCATATAATCAGTAAATGTTTGTTGAATGAATAGAATACTGAACTGGTTTGTAATTTAGTTTGATTATCATCCTCGTTTAGAGAGAACTATAGTTGTAGAACATCCACTTACCTCTGAGGCCACGTAAATGTTTCTAAATGTGCTTCCTTTTCTTTTTCCCCCTTTTTCTTTTTTGAGACAGGGTCTCACTGTGTAGCACTGGCTGGCCTGGAAGTCACTATGTAGACCACCTTGGTCTTAGAACGCTCAGAAATCCTTCTGCCTCTGCCTCTGCCTCCCAAATATTGGAATTAAACATGTGTGCCACCATACTTCACCATTTTTGGTTGTTCTTCACTTAATTTTTGTTTTTAATTTACCTGGATAAAAAAAGAACTGGAGAATACTTGCATTATCAAGAAACTACTTAAAGCCTAATTAATTACTGAGGCTAATGCTGTTTTAGTTTGTTTTTTATCTGCCATTATTTAATTTATCAAAATTAGACTTAAATTTTTACATATGTATTTTAGTATTTCTTGAGATAAATTTGAAACTAATCATTGTTTTAAAATGTTTGCAGACATGATTTTCAGTAGCACAGCATGAGCACAACAGTACTTTCTCGATTCATTACTTGTCCTGTGATTAATTGCTTAGTCAGGTTTTGAATAAGTATTAACATCTGTTATAAATCCATTTTAAGGTTTTCATTTTTACTTGTAAAATGCTGAATGTGGCTGGCAAATAATAATCAGTGATATACGTATATGTGTATATGTATGAATAAACATACTAATGGTTTTTTTAGCATAAAATACACATTCATAAACTATATGAAGAATCAGGAAAAGGTGAAAGACTGCCAGGTTGCTGAGGAGACTGCTTTAGGTATTGATAAAGTGAGCACATGATAAAGGCAGCTTTAGAAGGTCCATTGGCAGTAATGGACACAGCAAAGTGGGCTGCAAATGCAAAACAACTTTAAGCCAACTTACCTAGCCTGGGAAACTATTCGAGTACATTTGGAGTTTCACTGTGGGGTGAGAGAGCAAGACCGTGAACAGTATCATCCATGCTTTGAACTGCCCATTTGACCCCATTGTCCATCCCTTGTTCAACTCAATTCTGTCTTCTCAACCATCAGCTGTGAATTTGGCAAGCACCTTTGTCCCCTTTAAATGTGTTTTGTGGCACTCTAAAATGTAAATAAATCAAATGATTGAACTAATGTGAACTGCATGGTGTTAAGTTAGATGAGTGATTCCACATGCTAGTCTGAAGCCTGCATTGCCACCATTTTAGGTCTGTATTCTTTTCAAAGGTGATAAAAAGTGAAATCTTGTGGGTTCTCTGTGAAATGATTCAAATAAACTAATTGTCCATGCTTTACTTGTGTTAGAAATTACTCGAATTCTTTAAGAGTCTAAATACTGGAATTAAAGGTATGTGCCACCATACTTCACCATTTTTAGTTTACTTTCCTCACGTAAGTGTTGGTAAATTAAGTTCAAAGGAAACTGATGAGATAACGTTTTTGAATTGTTGGCTTTAACATTCCAAATAAATAACTGTGGTTAAGTTTTCTTCTAACCCTTTGTTTTTCATTGATTTACACTCATGAAATTACTTATGTTTTAGTCACATATTCACCAAGAACCAAGTAAGAGAATTCCATCTTGGAGTGGTCGTCCAATCTGGATGGAAAAGATGGTGATGTGCAGAGTAAAAGTTCCACACACATTTGCTGTTCACTCTTATGGCCGTCCCACAATATGTCAGTATTGCAAGCGGTTACTGAAAGGCCTCTTTCGCCAAGGAATGCAGTGTAAAGGTAGGACCGGATACATTCCGGGAGTACAGTTCACATGTAGGTTTGATAGTAATACAGGTTTAAAATATCTGTGTTTCAGAAATATTTGCTATAAAAATTGTTCTTGTAGTTAGCTTTAAAGGAAAAATACATAAAATATGTGTGTGTTAACTAATTGTCAATGTTTTGTACTATGTTAAAAAGAAACCTCGAGCCTTGGTGGCACATGCCTTTAATTCCAGGTAGATCTCTTGTGAGAACTGAGCCAGCCAGGTCTACAAGTGAGTTCCAGGCCAGCTGGGGCTACACAGAGGTGCTGTTTCCAAAAGAATGAGAGAGAGAAGAGAGAGAAAAAAACTTGAAAGCAACCGTATGTAAAATAATGCTTTTATTTCAGTAATTGATAGCAGTCATTTCCATTTTGATAACCTAAGTATAAGATTACTTAGGTAGTAGGTAGAGAACTAGAATTTGGAGCTATAAGGTAGGCTACTTAATCATGTATATTCAGTGATAACATATTAACATCATGTATAATTTTTTCTTAGGACCTCTTATAAGGGTCATGTTCTATCTAATGTGAATTTCGTCGTCCTGTGTACTTAACTCTTATCAATATGGAATAGCGAATAGCAAAGGTGGATTTGAGTTTCAGTCTTTTATCCTAAAGCCAGACACTAGCCAAAATAGAAGTAAAGCATTATATATGAAGTATCACTCTAGAGAAAAATCAGTGGTATAAACATTGGCAATACTAATGGTTAACACATACCTCTATCTTATGTATTTTTTTCTTTCTTTTTTTAACTACAGAAATAATTAGGGAGTAGCCGGGCATAGTGGCACTCACCTTCCAGATCTCTGAGATGGGGGCCAGCCTGGCTATATAGGGAATTCTAGGCCAGCTGGGGCTACAGGGAGACCCTGTCTCAAATAAATAAAAACTATTAGAGAATGATAAGCCTCTGAAATTCTAAGAGCAAACAGCCTTATTTAGATATTATTTCTGCACATTTTTAGTATTTCTTAAATATTTAATGAAACAGAATATTTTAATAGAATGGAATAATTCTTACAAATCATCTTACCAGATGCTAAAATAGAGAGTTTAAATGTCTTTATTACATATCGAGCCCCAGAAAAAGGTATGAGTAGTTTTACCGCTTTCCTATATGATTAATTTCACAGCTCTTAGTACCATACTATGTAGTGAAAGCATTTGTAGAATTAAATTTTTAAGTGATCTAAATAAAACATTGGTGTTGAAATTTTTGCAACAAGAATTCCTTACATAAGCACAGAATAATATGGCTGTATTTAAATTTTACATACATAACGAAGCTTCACAGCATGTGAGAACATCTAATGGAGAATAGGTTATATATTTGTTGAAAAATATTTAATAATTTAAGCAGGCATAATTAAATGTTGAAATTTTATTTCAGCAGCATATTTTGAATATAAGTTGATAAAGTAGTACTTTAAGTATCAACACAAAAGTGCACAGGCAAGCAGCCACTAAGAAATGATTTTAGGAAGAATGTTAATAACATGTACAAATTTTAACCAAGAGATAAGCTTAGTTAATAATGTTGTAGTGCTAAACATAACAGAAAGAGTCTAAACTTGTATGTAGAAAGCACATATATCTTCTAGAGAAATTAAATATATAGGTTGATAAATTTTAAAATAAAGCCTATTAACTTATATTC